AAATTATATAATTGTATTAACCAATGTTACCCCAATAAACTTATTAAAAAAAAAAAAAGAAGTTAAAATCCAGGAAGGAAAGGAAACTCACTGAGCTGACTCAAACTTTCTGTGCAACTTTTACTTCTATGGCCATTTGCCAATTCAGTATGCAGAGCATGGCAGCCGAAGAGAAGGCAGTGACCTAGATTTCATGGCAGCCTCACTGGGCCGGGAGGACAAAGACTAGAGTTTAAGACCACAAAGACAACAAGTACTAGAAGGCCAAGATATCTGAGAAAAAAACAGCTGCAGAATAGTGAGGTGAAGAGTTTGCCAGCCATTTCAATGGAGGCACTTGCCAGTTTAGAACCTATGCACATGGTGAGAAACTGTTCAAAAACCCATGCAAAAAGCAACTGTTAAGATTCAAAAAGCTAATCAGAGATTTTGGTAGTTTTGAGATACCAGAAAAACAAAATAAGAGTTTAAGGCCCATCACAGAAAAACAGGTCCTGATAAATCCTCCTGGTTTTAATTTCCTGCCTCTGGAGAGCTGTGCTCTAAGATAAATAGACCATGGTAGATTGGGCCAAGGTGAACTGCTATATTCTGTATGCCTCAGAAAAAAATACATTATGGAAAAATATAAAATGATCCAAACCCTGTACACTTTTTCATTTACAATATCTGGTATCTGATAAAATACAGCCAAGCAGGCCAGGCAACCGAGAGCAAAAACAGACAACTAAGAGAGCCATATTTGTTTAATATTTTGGAGTTACAAAACATGGACTTTAAAATAACTAGAATTAGTATAGTTAAGGTGGTATATGAAACAATACTATTTTTTACCAGAGAAGAGGAAATTATTATATGTTTTTCTTAGAAATGAAAAAAATTGTGAAATGTAGGGATTGAATAGATTAGTTCAGTAATAGAGTAGAATACAACAGACAAGAGAATTTGAGTACTGTAAAATATGTCATTTAAAAATTACCCAGGTAGTAGCACATTGGGAAAAAAGATGAAAAATATGGGAAGGAGAATAAAAGACAGAGATGATAGAGGAAATAGGTCAGGAACAATAAAGAGGTTTTAAATACATGTATTTTCTCAAGACAAAAGACACCAAGCAGCATATTCAAGAAATTTCTATGAAACATATAGACTAATAAAAAGAAAATTACACTCAGTTTCCTGTTTTTGCATATATCTGTCCAGTTTTTCCAATGTCATTTGTGGAATAGACTGTCTTTACTCCACTGTATATTCTTGCTTTCTTTGTCATATATTAAATTGCCTATTCACAATAGCCAAGATATCGAAGCAAAGTAAGTGCCTATCAATAGATAATTGAGTAAAGAAGTTATGGTATGTATATACAATGGAATATTACTCAGCTATTAAAAAAATGAAATCTTACCATTTGCAACAACATGGATGGACCTAGA